GGTTGTGAGTATATTAAACTCCCGGAACTCGTCAAGTGCTAGTAGAAGTTAACTTTTAGGACATTTATTTACTTATTTTAATCTTTTATTCGTTTCTGTTTACGAACCGCTGTAAAATGGACATTCTCGTACTCCTATTGAGCGTTCTAATTTATTGTAAATTCTAACATTATTGTTTATTTCCGCATTTAGAATACAAATTCATGTCCTATTAAGTTTCGAACCTTTGCACTAATTCTTATACTTTTAAATTTTATACATGATTTGATTTGAAAAATGCAAGGTCGCATTAAGCAGAGATGTTTGAATCTTAATAAATATTAAGATAATACTTAGTTTGATCAAATTAAATCTACGTTATTATATAATCAACTTAATTAATTACTAACTAAATTACAATTTTAAATTCTTTTATGTCTAACCCGCAATATTTATTCCATTATGTATTTTGTCCAAAATAATTTAATCAACTATAAAATTTTATATCTAAATCCAATTAAAATTAAAATCCCCATATAGTGATTAGTGTTCCTTCTTAATTTGAGTTTGATCTCAACATAATCATATTAACACTTTAAATTAATCAAATTTACTTACAAACTAATATTAGATTTAGTAAAATTTCTAACCCATCTATACTAATTTATCATGTAGATATATTTTTTTCATCTATTGTATCAAGTCCTAATAATTAATCTTTATTATATGTATTTTTTGGATTGATAATATCTTTTAAATACTTTCAAAATTATTTAAAAATTATTGTAGGACTATATGTAATGAATAATTATACATAGTTATTATACATAATTCTCGTTATAGTAAAAACTTCATGAAAGAATAATCTTGAAATCATTATATTGAACTTATTTACATAACAAACAATTTACATAATTAATTATTATATTGTCATCGTCATTAATGTCCAATGAGATCAAACAGCTTCTAGAAAGTTCTTACTACGCAAAACCTAGTGGGAAATGGTAATTCTTTTTTTTTACTGATCTCTGTGAAAAAAAAGTAGCAAAATTTACCAGATTTAGTAATTTACACTCCAAAGCCATAAAAAAAAAAAATCTAAAAGGGTAAAAAGAAATCAGTCAGCTTCTTGTAAGCCACCCAACACGACGGAGCCGACGAACAGGCCAGCGGCGGCGACTCCAAGCGCACCGGCGACAACAGCCTGTACGGCCACCAGCCCGACCGAGTCGTCGGGAATCAGAACAATTGTAGCCACCGCGGCCACAACCGCAGGTAACGCTGCCGAGGCCAAAGCAGAGGGTGATGCGGTGACGAGTTTCTCCAGCAGGCTGAGGAGACCGAGCTCCTCCGCCTTGGATAAAACCCCGAGCTTCTCAATCGACGAGAGAGTAAACCCTAGCTCCTCTGCCTTCGACAACAGTCCCGTCTTCGACAAGTTGCTCAGCACCTTCCGCTTCTCCAGCTTCTTGAACACGTCTACTTCAACCTGCTCGCTTCCCTCGTAGAATATCCCCGCCCCAAACCACTGTTTTTTCCAGTTCTCATCGTACTTGTTTACCTGAAAATTGAAAATAAATAAACAAAAATGTAGGGATAGAAGCAAAATTTCTTGAAATTGATCGTTGATTTTGATGAGACAGACTGATGATTATTCAGTTGAGGGAGGGACCTTTTTCCTGGGGGCCATGGAGACGATTGTCAGTTCCCGATGCTGCTGATTGGCGGAAAATTGGCGGGAAGAGTGGAGGCGGTGAGGAGGAGAAAGGAAGTGAGAGTGTAGGAGTGAACGGAGGTGAGTAGCTGATGATGGTACTGGTGCAGTGACCGCCATTGATGAATGCTTGAAGTGCATTGAGGTGTATCAGATGGGATGTTCATTGAGGAAGAGAACTGCCCGCCTTAGATGGGTCCCATGTAATCTCCACATCAACCAATCAAAGCGGTGGTATTCTGATTTTATCTCGCAGATGGAATGACCATTATGCCCCTCCATATTTTGAGATTTAACTGCAACTACCCCGAGCGCCCAGTCTGGTGTGGCCCATTATCCAAGATTATATGGGATTCTAAATTCAGCCCAAGATCAAGTTTACAGGATTGGAGTTGTGAAGTTTCAAGGGGACGTTTAGATAAATTCTGATATATTTTTGAGATTTAGCAGAGGAAGTTGCAGCATTACTCTGTTCTAGGTAATAAGGTGGCAGCCAAGAATAGCAGAGAAAGAAGAAGATATTTAACGAGCCGAACTTGTGAGCTTTTCCTGGAGGCGCGACCATAGGGCAAAGGTTTTCCCAGCTGCTTCATCGTCGGCCATGGCTCAGAATGGAGGTGGATTTGACTCGGGTCTGGCAGCTTGAGCACTGAGAATGAAGTGCTAAGAATGCAAGAGAAACAAGAAATATTTGTCTTAAGCCCATCTTGAACCAGTGGCTATGGAAGAGAGAACAAGAATTACGGATCTGCCAGAGTCGAGTCAAATCCACCATAACCACCTGTATTCGCAGGAGTTGTGAGCCAAGCTTAGGTCACTTTTCCTGGAGCCATGTTGCCTCCATGGCTTGAGCATTCGTTCTTTTTTTATTTTTAATTTTCAGTTTTTTATTAAAAATTAAATTTTTTATATCATATTATCATACACGCGATATTTACGTGAATATTAATTCAATCAAAATAAGACAGTACTTTCAATAATAATATTAATATACATTAGTGGTAAACGAATAAATAAATTTTATTTTAAAAAAAAAATATAGGGACTAAAATTATAAAAATTAAAAAATATTGGTTAGAGTATGAATAACTAATTAATAGGACAGTTTGAGTATTACAACAGAGATTATAATAAATTTAAAATTTTTAAATTATGAAAATGTAACTGGAATATATCGTATATCGTTTTATTTTAATATTTTTTTATCAAATAAAATTCAAAATTATATACATCATCTCCTTCTTCATCTTAATAATTTACAGAGTAGCATGAAAATTACATTTATCTAATTAGCTATTCATGGAAATTCATCATCACTGATGTTATATCATTAAATTGTTATAACTATCTATGGAAATACCAAAAGGAACAAATAAAAGAAAGCATAGAACTAAATTAATATATAATAACAATAATGAACCTAAACGAGATTTTTATGTCTATGTAACATTTCTAGTATTTTTAATCTCAATAATTCTGATTTGATTTCATATATTAAAGAAATTATAGTTTGAATTTTTCAATTCATGATTTTTGCTTATCATTTCGTGTTATACGTGTGTATTTCTTTTATTATTTTTGAACAGAATTATATTCATGGCTTTGTTCAGTATGGAATCAAAGTTATTAAAAAGGATAAATATATGTTTTTCTAAATTAAGAATTGCAGACTCTCAAGAAAATTAAATTTTATCGCGATAGTCATTCGTAAATAAATCAAGTATTGTATTTATCTGAATTTTTTCTCAAACCAATTTTTGAGAATTATATATCCGAAATTTCAGACTTGTGTATACCCTATTATATATATATATATATATTCAGACAGACGAGGCAGCAGAGAATTTTCCAGTTTGACTCCGGCACGGATCTGCGTCAGGGGATCCCAGCCGACGAACCTCTGTTTCTCTCTTTTCCCAGCGTTTAATTCCTCGTTGGACTTTTCGCTTCGTCTTTTCATCTCGACGAATCCGCGTGATTCTCTCTAATCCGAAGACCGTACTTGTAATCTTCCTCTGCTATTTCCTTGTATTTATTTTATTTTCAAATTTTCAATTTCATATGTCCTTCTCTGCAACTTCCGCATCACTTTGATTTTCTTTTTTCCATTTGAAAAAAGATTTATAGCTTTACGTCTAAACTCGTGATTGCTTTCTTGTTCCTTTTCTAACTTTGGAAACCTCTACTTGGGCATCTGCGAATTGCTTAATTAGTTTACAGTGTTGAATTATATTTCTTGGGTATCCTTATTTAATTTCTCAAGAAAAATTTTGATTTGTAATCCCAATAGGGTTTCCCATTGTCAATGAATGTGAAATTAAAGGAAACCATTTGGCTTGTCTTTCCAGGAAAGACAGCTGTTTTCATCCAATATTCGAATTCAGAGTATCTCTTAATGGAGTTTTTTATTTTAGTTTTTTTATTTCAACACCTTCTTTTATCGTATCTGATTGATTTCCATCCAATTAAAAATAAGAAAATGTCTCCTTTGGTTGTATCGTGATGGAGAGTATATGCTGTATTCACCCGTTTATATTTTTAATATATGTACGTATGGCGTGGTTTGCCAGGATTATCCATCCCCAGTTATTAATCTAATCAAGAATAGAAAACTAAGATGACCAAATCCTTGTGCATATTAATTTTATGGATTAGGACATACAAATATACTTTTTTTTTTTTTGGGTCTTTGAAGATTCTTATAAATGTGAAATGGATTATGAAACTTCCCTAGTTTTTCATTGGTATTTTGTTGGAACTTGGAAAAGGTTATATATTAAAGCTAGATATCTACTGAGAGGAAAAGAATGTGGGGTTGGCTTATCTCTTGGGTGTTGACTTCCCGTGTTGGTAAACTCTTTTTGGTTGTAGTTATCGCATTATATATCAGTATTAATATATAAAATGGATTGGCATCTTCATATACAGTATATGAAATAGACCTATAACCACCTTTTTATTTAGTATATGGTCAAGTGCAGAAAATATCTCTAGCATCTTGTTTTGTCTATATAAATCAATTGTATTGAGCTGTTGTTGACATCTCATCTTGTCTTGGGTTCTTCTCCTCAAAAACAAAAAATCTCCTTGTCTCTTGGTTTCTTCCCCTCAGCCATTTGTGTTTGTTTACTAACTTGTATGTCTTCTCTCCTTTTATTTATATACTTATGATAGCTTTCTGTCACTCCATTTCTGTGTTAAATTGCACTCCAAGGTAGGTGAGTTTATGTTCCAAGCTGAGATGGTGATCCCTGAGTATGCTTCTGTTTATCTTCTTGTTAGCTTTTGATTTATTTAACACGTTTTTGATTTAATTTCGAGGATGAATGTTCTCCATTTCATTCAGGCAGATCAAATTTATAGGCTGATAAGGCCAGTTCCATTTTCAAACATAGTTCTAGTTTTATTTTATTGGGACTATTACTGAAAAAATTATGGATATTCTTTAAAAAAAACAAATAAATTATGACTTTTTTACTTTTTTACCAACAAATATTGTGTGAAGTCACATTTTGATGCAGTTTTTGATATAAAGTTGGGTATCTCTTTGTAATCTTGAGTTATTTCAAATATTTGTCAAATAGCATATTACAAGTCGTTTTCTAGGATCTTCGCCAGAAGCTGGCAAGGTTTTTGGGTGTCTTTGTGTGTATTTGCACACATTTATGTATGAGTATTTAGCCGTGGGTATTAAATTTCAGCTTCAATGAACTGATCTATGCAAGTGATCTAATAATGACATTTGTAAGAGATCCGCTGTATAATGAAATATGTTTTTGCAAATATCATTAAAGAGAAAGCACTTGTATCCTCTTCTTGTACTAAACTACTAAATATTTTCAAACATATTAGGTGTAGAGAAGATGGGTAATCTGTTCTGTTGTGTACAAGTTGATCAGTCTACAGTAGCTATCAGGGAGAGATTTGGAAAATTTGATGATGTTCTTGAACCTGGATGTCATTGCCTACCTTGGTTTCTTGGGAGTCAGCTAGCGGGCCACCTTTCACTGAGGTTGCAACAGTTGGATGTACGCTGTGAGACCAAGACTAAGGTTGGCTATATCACTTAGCTGTTAAGATAATTTTAAGTTATTTGATCGTGGCATTCTCTGTTATTGTTGTGAATTTGCTTGAACCAATATGGTTCTTCTTTTATGTTATATTCTCCAAACAATATGATGGCTTTCTTCTTTCCCTAGTCGCAGTCTTGTGCTTCTGGACTTGTATTATCTCCACCAACTAGGGTATAGTGACACAGATAAACAGTAGGAATTGATTCTGGTTGTTCGTCTCCTGATCAGATGCTAAATATGTTATCATGTCTAAATTTGACCAATCTGGTTCAATCTGCCTGTCTGGTTTAGTTCTGGAGATAAGGAGAACACCTGTTAAAAGTTATTAGCATTGGGCATAGATTTAACTCTCCTTTGAAAGAAGGTCCGAGGTTGAAATTGCCTTTCCCAAATTCAGCAATTAATTGGGAAAAAGATTGTGATAATCTATATGTTCCATGTTTCATATAATCCAATTCATTTAGTATTGCAAATTTTAATATGGTTCTTGTTAGTCCCAAAGTTGATAGTTTGTGAAGTCCGGCGTCAAAATTTGCCTCACTGTGATACAGCTCCAGTAAACTGATCTTTGTGGTATCTCGTTTCAGGACAATGTATTTGTCAATGTTGTTGCATCTATTCAATACCGTGCGCTGGCTGATAAGGCAAATGATGCTTTCTACAAACTGAGCAACACGAGGACTCAAATTCAGGCTTATGTTTTTGATGGTATAAAACAAATACTTGTGTCTGCATGGGATACTTTTGATTATAGTCTTTGGTCTTCTGTGGTTCATTTAACTGTTTGTATTGTAATAGATAAAATAAGCTTAACATGGTTGGATTTTCAGTTATCAGAGCAAGTGTTCCAAAGCTAAATCTGGATGATGTGTTTGAGCAAAAAAATGAGATTGCTAAGGCTGTGGAAGATGAACTTGAAAAGGTAATGAAACTACAATTGGCCCGTGCTTGTGGTTGTTTGGGATCTGTTCCCTCACTTCCTTATACCAAAAAAGAAAAAGAAAATATTAATTAAACTAATTGCATATTCTGTGATTTCTTGAGAAATTTAGACTTATGATGATTGAATTTAGTATTTATTATGTTCAAATGCCATGACACTGCGAGTTAGTTGTTGTGTTTGGTGACACTTAATTGTGTGTTATCTCTCAGGCTATGTCTGCTTATGGGTATGAGATTGTTCAAACACTCATTGTTGATATTGAACCAGATGAGCATGTGAAGCGGGCGATGAATGAAATTAATGCTGGTAAGATTCGCTCTCAACTTTGTTGATTAGTTAAACCATTAAGAGTTTCCCATTGCTTGGACTGAACCAATTCATATGACCTACGTGTGCTTTTAAACCTTGAACTATAGTGTATAGACTCTTTTAACTTGATCCTAGAAGTTATAATTGATGGCTGAGTGCAATGGCTTTGACATTATCATGATATATTGATCAATCTAGTTACTGCATGCTCACTGGACTTTATCAAATAGACTTTCTTGTTCCATTCGTTCATGTTTATCATGGTGTTTTTATCACTTTATGTGGTCCTTGGGGAAGATTTGAACTTTGGACTGAAACGTTAATATCAAATTAATTTTCTGATATGACTTCCATTCCAGCTGCAAGACTGAGGGTGGCAGCTAATGAGAAGGCAGAGGCAGAGAAAATTTTACAAATAAAGCGAGCTGAAGGTGAGGCCGAGTCTAAGTACCTTTCAGGGCTGGGTATTGCTCGCCAGCGACAAGCAATTGTTGATGGCCTGAGAGACAGTGTGCTTGGTTTCTCTGTCAATGTTCCGGGGACTACTGCAAAGGACGTGATGGACATGGTCCTCGTCACTCAATACTTCGACACCATGAAAGAAATTGGTGCTGCTTCCAAATCCTCAGCTGTGTTCATACCTCATGGACCTGGTGCTGTTCGCGACGTAGCTACTCAGATTCGAGATGGACTTCTACAAGCTTCCTCGCATCAATGAGTTTGTTACTTCTTTTATGGTCTTGTTATGAAGTGTGGGACTAGATGCTTATCCGTCTGATTTGTGTATTTATGTATTGGATAATTGTTTTCTGTAATTGAGCCCTATTGCTTTATATGTATATTAATTATGAAACGAGAGTCCTGATGCTGTTAATACGTGTTTAAAAACTCTTGGAATGAATGAAGAACTCCAGTTTTCATTATCTTATTTTGGGAATATCTGGCTACTGTGTCTTGTTATGGTAAATTAAAATCATGTACAATTTAGTCTGCCATTTCATTAGCTCACACATTTGCCAAATTTTATTATCTGTTGTTACTATTTTTATTGCTTGGATTACTCAAAATCAGATTTGCCAAATCCTCACCCTTCTCAGGGCGTAATTTGCTCGTTAGTAGAAAACCATCTCTCTCAATCATCCACTCTCCAATCTCTCATCTCCATTTATTTCATTTATTGTAGGATTTATATTTCCCATAAGATAGTGTAACACCCAAACTCTTATTTATTATTTTTATTGAAATTTTATAATTTATTCATAAGAGTATAATTTAATTTAACTGAAATAAAAATAATAATAATGATAAAAATAGTTAAAATTATTTTTTGGATTTAATTAAAAATGATTTTAAAAAAAAAGGGTGAAAATTTGAATTTTAGAGGTGTTTTTGAAAAGAAAATCGAAAACCGAGGGTCAAAATGTAATTTAAAAAAGTTGTACTATGTCAGCAGCCCCGGCCAACCAGAACACGCCGCGTGGCAAGGATGCCGACGCGGGAGGCCACGCGGGACGGAGCCACGTGGGCAATCTGCGTGCACGCGATCGAACGGTCCAAATCTCACGCGTGTGGACGGCCCAGATCTCACGCGCACGGACGGTCCAGATCTCACGCGTGCGGACGACCTATATTGAATCACGCACGGACGGCTCAGATCGCATCGTGATGGACGGTCCAGATTTATTCCCATTTTAATCGCGATCGGACTGTTCAGATTAAATCGTGATGGACGGCTGAGATTAAAAGGGGAAGGTTATAAATAACCTCACCCACACCCGACCCCAACCCTTAGCCGCCAGTACCCTCGCCGGAGAAAAAGACCCAGTCACCGGATGAGCCGGCCGCCGCCACCCGCTGTCACCCTAGAAGATTTTCCGACCGTCAAACGAGGTAAATTTTTTTCTATTGGCTCGCTTTTTGATGCTGAATCCGTATATGGCCAAATTGGAGCCAAATCACTGGCCAATCGGCCGAAAAATACCGCCGAAGTCCAGCGGCGCCGCGACGACTTTCCTCGATTTTTGTCTCTGATGAGGCCCTTCCCGGTTCCCGTTCGATACAATTACACCACTGTGATCAACGTCCTTTTCTCTGCAGGTTGACCGGAGCAAAATATCGAATCACGACTCGCGCCGGAGAAGCCGCCGCACCCGAGAGCTCCGCCGCCGGTAAGTCTCGATTTTTCGTGATTTTTTGGCCCACCGAGGGCCCTAGAGTTTGATCGCAGGAACCAATGCAAGTTTGGCCAAATTCGGCCAAAAACGGCCAACTCGAAGCGGATCGCCGCCGCGGGTGGTGGTGCCGTCGCCAGAGCACGGCGGAGCCGCCGTGCTGGAATTTCGAAATTGGCCGAGTAGGCCCTGGGTCTGATTTTTAGTTTTTTCAGGACACGTGTAGATACTGGAAGTGTGTTTCAGTTTTCGGAAAAAAATTTAGAGAATCTAGGGACTGCTTGAAGGCGCAATGTAAAGCCGATTTCAGACTCCGAAACAAGTAAGGATCTCTCACTCTATTTTCTATCACGGTATTAAAGCTCAATAAATGATAAAACGGTATTTCATGAATTAATAGATGTGTATAATTGCTTAAGGTTGCTAATGGAGCCCGAATCTGGTGTATTTGTCGGTCAGTTGTTGTTTGATCTATTTTATAGTTTTAAATGCAGTATAGTACGTAATGTGTTTATTTTATGATTTCGTATGCATGAATTCCGGTTTCATTTATTATGGTTTGAATTATAGTGAACCTAATGTTGTGTTGTTTTATTTGGTGTTCATTACTAGTTTACGTGTTTATGTTTGATTGAATAATTGAGACTAAGAAAAATGGAAAAGGTTATGTAAATTGATAAATGGATGATGTCGACAGCCTAACTAGATATTCTGGGAGATGGTGGACGGACCGGGTCCGTAGGGAACCCTACCGGGAACGTGGTCTCCCATATCGGACGGGGTATGGAGACCTTATGTGTTTTAGCGCCCATACCGGACGGGGTATGGGGACGGCTCTGGAATCAAGTTATTAATGTGAATGGTTCACGTGTAGTGGGGACCCCCTATGGATCCCCATGGATACTAGTAGGCTGATAAAAAAGAAAAATTGTTGTCTGATGATTGAAAAACGAGAGTTTGATATGTGTTATGTTACAAAGTATGTATGATATTTATGATGTTATTGTTTCTCATAAATTGTCTTTCATGAATCTCACCGAGGTAAGTGGACAGTAAATGTTTTTATTATTAATAAATGAGTTTGGTATAAATTATGCTCCATTGGTCGTTTTTGTTTTCTACCAACCTTTACTCCTGTGGCAGTGAGATAGTGTGATGTATTTACTGGGATAGTGTTGCTCATTCCTTACTTAACCATTTCAGATAAGGAGGACTTGGTTCCCGAGCCCGTCCTGCAGGAAGACGGCGAGTAGATGACTAAGGATTTGAGAGATTTATTTATAGTATTCATTACTAGTGTTTAATTCAGTTTGTTTATTCTTTCATACGTTTAATACGTTTTAGTTATTGTGTAAGGGATATTAATCAGAATTTTTATTTCGCTTCCGCACTTAAAATTTTTAATACATACAGTTTTTTTAAATTTTCGGGGCCCTTACAGTTGGTATCAGAGCCGCGTTCCTAGGACTCATCCCTTATATAATAATGCTTAGAGAAATACCCACCGATAAATTGTTACTCAACTCTTCCTTCTGAAATGCAGGTGCAGAGAAATGAGGAGAGGAAGACCCCCACTAAACTGAGTAGCCCAGGATGATTCGCTTCGGGACGATGTGGACATAATATTTGAGATGCTGGAAAGGATCATGGCCACCCAACAAGGTCGAGAGGAGAGAAGGGAGTTTCCCGAACCTCCTCCACCACCGCAAGTTGAACCACCGCTACAGCAAGCGAATCCCAAGCCACCCCGGCACAAGCCTGCTCCACCACAGTACCACCCGGCACCACCGCCATAGTGTGAACCGGTGCCTCAGCCACCGTACTGCCCGGCACCGCCACAGTACAATCCGGTGCCCCCACTATATCAGCAGGTGCCACCACAGGGCCCCTCAGTCTATCCCCAGTCGGGCCCAGTCCCTCTTCCACGGGACCCAGCTCCTTCTTTGATCGACCCAGACTACATAGAGAGGCATAGGAGATTGAATCCTTTCACTTTTGCTGGGGGATCCTCTTTTGAAGATGCCCAGTACATGTTGGCGGAGACTGAGAGAGCTTTCAAGACCTTGGGAGTGGTTCCTGACTAGAGAACTGCCCTTGCTTCCTACATGCTAGTAGGGGAAGCAGGTCGTTGGTGGGAGCTCAAGTAGACCCCTGCCTACATCAGCCACTTGGGAGCAGTTCTTAGCGGCTTTCCATGTGGAGTATCTCCCTGAGCACATCCGACACCTAAAAGAGATGGAGTTTGTTCAGCTGGTCCAAGGAAACATGACGGTATCAGAATATGCTCGTAAGTTCCTAGAACTGGGCCGATACTCCCCGGAGACATTGATGGATGAGGGCAGGAAGGCCAGGAGATTCCAGTAGGGCCTCCGCCTAAAGATCAAGCAACACTTATTAGTACTAGAGCTCAAGACATACTCTGTCGTTCTAGCAAAGGCGCAGATTGTGGAGAGGAGTTTCAACACCCGTCCTCAATTAGTAGGGAGTCAACGACCCTCAACTCCACCTCGCAGACTAGCACCTACTGCGCCGGTCCAACCAAATAAGAGACCCAGACCAGTGATCCAGGCCCCTCCTCAGGCTCCAGGGGCAGCACGTGGAAAGATCTGCCAGCACTGTGGCAGGGATCACTGGGACCGACCATGCTACCGCCTCAACAACACCTGTCGCATATGTGGTAGTGCCCAGCACTATGCGAGAGAGTGCCCGAGGAACCAGAACCAAGGAAGACCTCCTTTTCAGGGCAAGGTTTACAACCTCACCCAGCAGGATGCCGATGCCGACCCGGACGTGGTACAGGGTATGTACACTATCTGTGACCATATTGCTCATGTTTTATTTGACACTGGTGCATCGCATTCATTTGTTTCACATGTTTTTGCATCCAAACTTAATGTATTACCTGATAAACTTGATTCAATGTTATTTGTGTCTACTGCTGGGGGTGAAACACTATTAGGGAAAGTTGTCTATAGGGCTTGTGCCGTGGAGATAGCAAATAGAAAACTGAGTGTAGACCTGATAGGGTTAGACACGGGGGATTTTGATGTAATCTTAGGAATGGATTGGCTAGCGGCATATCACGCCACCATAGATTGCTTTAACAAGAAGGTTTTATTTAATCCTTCCAATGAGAAGCCATTTACAAATTAATAAAATCATTTAGTACTTATTCCTTGGTGGCAAGTTTTCTTAATTTTCTAGTACCTTAATATTGCTATTTTCTCTAACTAGGCAAGCCCAAGAAGGAAATTTGTATCCAAGAGATTCTAGTAGTTCGAGACTTTCCAGATGTGTTTTCGGACGAACTACCCGGACTGCCAGTGAACAGAAAAGTCGAGTTCACTATAGACCTACAGCTAGGCACCCAGCCCATTTCGGTTGCTCCTTACCGCATAAGCCGCATTGAGATGGAAGAGCTGAGGAAACAGATCACTGAATTACAAGACAGTAGTTTTATTAGACACAGTGTGTCCCCTTGGGGTGCCGGAGTCACTTTTGCCAGGAAGGGAGATGGAACATTGAGACTGTGTATTGATTACATATGATTGAATAAGGTTACAATTAAGAACAAATATCCCCTCCCTAGGATTGATGACCTCTTCGATCAGCTGTAGGGTGCACATGTCTTCTCTAAAATAGACATGCGATCAGGCTACCATCAGGTGAAGATAAGAACAGAAGACATCCCCAAGACGGCCTTTCGAACTAGGTACGGACACTATGAATTTCTGGTCATGCCATTTGGGCTAACCAA